AATTGCGAGCCATTTGTATTTGGACCAGCATTAGCCATTGATAAAAGACCAGGTTTTGTGTGTTTGAGTGTAAAGTTTTCATCAGCAAACTTTTCACCATAGATACTACATAGAAAAAATTTACAAATATCATATTTAGTAAGCAAAGAAACAGAACAATTGACTCACCTTTTACCACCAGTACCATTACTATTCATGTTTAAAGAAAACGAAAAAAAAGAAAAGAGATCCTTCATTTAATATAATTTTTTTTTTATATTGGCAACTCACCCTCTGGTAAAATCACCACCTAGAAAAAATAATCAATTAATTATGTTGAAATAATATCGAAAATAAAATCTATTACCTTGAAGCATAAATTGTGGAATTACACGATGAAATGCACTTCCTTGATATCCGAAACCTTTTTCACCAGTACACAATGCTCGAAAATTGGCTTTAGAATAAAATACATAATAATATTTTTAAACGAATCGATCAATAAGTCTTTAAATTACCTGCTGTCTTTGGTACTACCTCATCGTAAAGCTATGCAACGTAAAAAAAAAAAAAAATATTTCTCTCAAAAAAAAAACACTTTCATTTCTATGCTTTACTTTGAATGTAATACGACCAGCTGAATTACCATCGATTGTAATATCGAAATATACGTTTTGACCAGACATTGTTTGAATGATTTGATCAAGAAGATATTAGATCTAGAACATTATATGACATCATCATGATGAAAACATGAGACAGTTAAGGAAGACATATTACAACAAAATCTGACACAAAGCTCATTGTACAATATTTATACCGACACATACTTATATCAACAAAAAAAAAATGCGTACACATTAAGAGAAAATATTTAGACAAAGCAACATCTGACAATAGACCAATTAATAAGAAATTCAGATCATAATCAGAGAGGATACATTGAAAAAAAAATAAAGCATAACAGATGACTAGGAGAATAAATTCATATTTCAGTCATTACAGAAGAGAATGCAATGATTTTAATCGATATTTAATTCATTAAGTAAACTATTTGATGATTGTTGCAATGAACAAGACGGTAAATGTGAAAACTTAACAAAAAAAAAACAATTTAAAATTTAATCATTATTTTTTATTTGATTACTTACACGAATAAAAATTGATGTACAATTCATTTCTTTAATAATTGATCTACATGATGAATCTTTTGCTAAATTAATTAATGCACCAATAATAATATCTAATAAAATATCTAATTTATTATCTTCAGATATTTTTAATCGTTCACGATCAATTATAATTAATAATTCAATTAATCGTCTAACAGCATTTTGTTCACATAAATATGGAATTATTGTTGATGATATAGCTAAATTTTTAATTAAACCAACTGTTGCTTTAAGAATTCCCCAATGTTCTTTAAAATTTTTATCTCGTAATAATTTAATAATATTTCCAATACCATAAGATTTTCTTATTGTTTCACGTGCTTCATTTTCAAGATCGTGACGAGCTGTTATATGTCGAAGTGTACATAACTAAATAAAATTTCATATGATATTTTAAAATTTAAAAAACAAAAACAATGTATGTTTTGTTTTTTAACTTACAACAACTTCAATAAGATCATCATTTTCATCAACATTCATTAATAATTTTTGCATAAGTGTTTGTACACCATTTAATTTAACAAATAAACTTTTATTTATTCGATTATCTGCAGTTAAATTATTAAGTATACCTAATGAACAAATTACTGATTGATGATCATCAGTTAATAATATTGTAGCTAATTTTTGAATTAATGAATCAATATCACGCTAAAATATACAAACAATAGTTCATTTAGTACAAATATTAATAGATTTTCTTTCTGTCATTAGTAATAGTAGCTACATCATGTTTCGTATTTTAATTCCACAAGGATTATGCTAATAGTGTTTACAGTTAATCATATATTCAACCAATTATGTATACAGTGAAACTTGTCTATGTAAACATCTCCTTATTCTGAGCAATGAAGGCTTATTTCTAGTTCTATGAATAATAATAACAACTTCCATAATGTGAATTATGTATATTCTATCATTCATGTGAAAAATGAGAAATTGATGCTATGCCCATTGCCTTTTGATAAACAATCATGGAACATATATAAGGGGATAGACTGAAAATGTGTATTTAGACAGCAAAATGTATTATCGACAGCAACAACAATGCCTAATGAAGGGTATAGGAGAAGAGAGAACTCATATCATAGTCAAAGTTCACTTCATAATTATTTTAGAGACGATTTGTTTTGCGTTATTTCAAAAAAAAATGCCTTGCACAATCGCAAAATGATTGCAAATGAATACTTATCATTTGGAAACTGCCCAATAATGAGCGCCCTCTGTAAACTGAACACCTTTGATCAGTTCCGACGGTGCTCACATTAGATAGATTTCACTATATACAGATAAGTGACCGTCTTCCTTTTTTTCGGTAAAACAATACAGATAATTAGAAAGACAAGATAATCTTTTTGTATGGAAAGTGATACAGAACAAATAGGATAGTATTCAAATTTGAAAATCGTTGACTATTTTACTACCTTTTTTTTTCGCTTGTAAAATAATACAATTCTCTTCTTTAATAGATTATTTTTTCACTTTCAATATCTAATCTACTTCAATTGAATAGATCAATCATATACTTTCAAGTAATGGTTGATTTATCATCTATTCAATTAATTCTTATAGGTTAATGTGAAGTATTTATGACTATACAAACAGTTTGATATGTTCTATCTATTGTTGTGTATAATACAAAATACAACAAATACTCATAATTGATAAAATTCAATTATATCTTCTTCATCAATTCACTTCGTTAATAATTTCTTACCATTCGTGTTGCTTGATTTGATATATTTCTTATTGTAATAAGACAATTATGTCTAATTCGAATACTTTTAGTTGTTCGTAAATGTTTTTCAAATATATTTAAACCATTTAATTGTAAAATAATACGTTTAATTAATTCATTACCCGATGATATTATTGGTAGTAATTTTGATATTGTTAATAATAATTTATCATATGTACTTGTATCAAATATATATAAAAGACGTCGAATACATTTTTCATTATTCTGTATAAATATTTTTGATTTTACATTATAAATTGACATTTTAAGTAAACTATCTGATACTAATGTTAATAATTTATCATTTGATCTTTCTAATAAATTAATAAATTTTTCTATACCATCACATCGTTCAATTTCATCCGATGCTTGATCTTGAAAAACAATTAAAAAATTATGTAATGTTGTTATTACAAAATTAACTGTATTGTCAGGTGAACTACAAATAAAAAAAAAACAAATAATGTCTGAAAAAAAAAACCACACGATCATTTTAATAATGATAATCTTACTCGAGAAGTGAAATTAAACGTGAAATTCCTCCACAATCAAGAATGACACGTAAACCTTCTTGTTGTTGAGATAGTGAATGAAATAAACTAGCTAATGCATGAATTATTTGACCATCACCAATATCTTTTGAGAAAGTTTCCAATAATGTATTAATTAACTAATAAAAAAACAATAATTTGTTTTTTTTTTCTATTGAATAAAAGACATTGATTTCTTACCTCTCGATTTTGAATAACTTCTGATCGAGTTTCACCACCTTCTCTAATTAATACATGTGTTAGTAATACAGCTTCACGTACAATAACTGAATCATCTTCTATTAATAAATTCAATAATTCAGCTATAATTTGAGCCGGAGGTAATTTCGCTGGAGGTGGTGCTGGTTGTAATTCAGTATATTGTGGATAAGTATTTTCAGGATTATTTGATAAACGAGATGGAATATTTTCATAGACTGATGTTGATCCATGATGTATAGGGCCCGTACCTGTTGATTCAATACTGCGTAATGATGCTGGTCGAGAATTAAATCCTGAGTCACGTTGTGATGGACATGCATTTGAAACAGAATATGGATCATCAAGCCACATTGTTGTATGACTATCAGAATTTATGGGTTGTAAATGATTTGAAATAATTGGATTTTGTGAATGATGTGATGGTGGAGGTTTACATGGAAAAGAAGCTTGATGATGCATTTGAGGTGGATAATCCATAATAATTATCTAGAATCACAAAAAAAAAAAAATAAATAAAAGAACTATTGATGCATATTATTTCTATTTTATCTATTTGCTATTATATTCTGGTGAAAGATAGTATTACGTGTTCATTATTCTTACCTAATAGTATTCTATATATGCGTGTATACCCGATGAACTCGACCGAAAGAAATAATGTAGAAAATGAAAATGAGATGAAGAACATAAAAAGAAATAACACGGCGGTCGTTCTTTGTCCGTTTTAAAATAGGTATTCATTGCACGTTGTCTTTTATCAACCAATAGAAACATACTTTTGTTTACTGGTTACTACCGAAACCTCTATATTTTATTTCTTATCAATGCATTTATCTCTATTGAACTTATGTTAGTTTTTTGATATCGAAAACAAATAAAGCACTATTGAGATAAGTTAGTGGATAGAAACTTAACGAATTATTTGAGTTATGTCGCCATCTATCGAATTCAAAACTTGTACAAACATATATCATAGCTATATAATAAACTTCTTTTTTTTTTTGATTAATTACTCTTCCAATCTTGTCTCCTCTTTCATGTTATTCGTAATTATAGAAAACAGGTGTACTTTCACATCTACTGACATAATCAACATTTTATTACTTCTCTATGATAAAGTTGATTCATTATGTAACAGTCCATTTAAATAATCATACACATAATAAATACTATTGGAGTTTTTTTCCTCTTTATTCTCTCTAGCCAAAAAAAAACAGTGCTAGTATAAAATGTTATATGAAATCAAGCATCATGCAATCAACTGCTACAAAATAGAAAACATGTTTAGGTTTGGAGAAAAACTGATGCAAGAATTCTTTAAAAAAAAACAACACATGAGCATTTTTTTTTTTGCATAAATTATTTTGGATTTTGATCACTCTGTACTTCACCGCTATCGGCAATAGTGATCTTTTTTTGAGTTCGGCCTGATTGTGATCCTAATGCTTCGACTTTTTTCACTGTATCCATACCATCAACAACTTCACCAAAGACAACCTTTAGAAAAGAAAAATAACTAGATGGATATTTATTTCTACACAATACATACATGTTTACCATCAAGCCAAGGAGTTGCTACTGTTGTAATAAAGAATTGAGAACCTAGAAAACAAATATTTAACATTAATTTATATTTTAAAATAAATACTAATTACCATTTGTATTCGGACCAGCATTAGCCATTGAAAGTAGACCTTCTCGTGTATGTTTTACTTGAAAACTATATTGAATAATAATAAACTATTTTTGTTTGGCTTCTCTCTCGGTTACATAATATAAAAATGACTTACTTTTCATCAGCAAATTTACTTCCATAGATGCTATTATCATGAAAAATAATAAATCATATATGAAATCATTATTGAGATTATTCTTACCTATAACCACCAGTACCATTACTAGAAGAAAAAAAAAATTTTGTTTTTCAAAATTGTTTTTTATAAAATAAATCTACTAACTGTCGTTCGAAATCTCCACCTTGTAACATAAATTTTTGAATTACTCGATGAAAGGTTGAATTTTTATAACCATAGCCTTTTTCACCAGTACATAAAGCACGAAAATTTTCTATTCAAATGAAAATTTATCATTTTTACTTTTTGTATCAACAATTTTTTTTCAATTATACCAGTTGTTTTCGGAACAATATCATTATAAAGCTAATTTAAACAAAAAGAAAAAACTATTAATAAATAATAACAATTGAAAGTTTATTTAACTAACTTGAAATGTAATTCGACCAAGTGGTTTATCATCAACATTAACATCACTAAAGTTTAAAACAAAAAAAAAATAAATAATGAAAAATATCGTTAAATAATTCATTACAAAAAACATTTTGATCGAGCTGTAGCTTTTTTCGATGTTCCACTACTAAATATTCCAAATGTTCGTTGAAAACCACAAGATGATATCTGTAATAATTCGAGAATGAATTTAATAAATCGAATTAAACCAAAAAAATAAAACCTGAACATTTGATGTTAAAACTGTCCGAAGAAGTGTACGTGGTATCATTATTATTCTTATTATATTTCTTTTTTCTTCCAAAGTAAATCTACAAATACAATGGAAGCACAAAAAATTCATTTATTATCACTATTCAAATCATGCAAAAGAAAAAAAGATAAGTAAGAGAGAATAACCAAACAAATAATGTACAAAAAAAAGAAAAAAAGAAAATTCCAATTTGCAAATAATAAATGTGTCGATTAAAGAAGATATCTAATCCTCTGAGATAAACATGTATATATATGTATATATATGCAGATCAATGAAAAACTCTACAACTAAACTTGTTTTTACAAGTCAGTATCAAACCAAGCTGCCATTTGTGGATTATTATGAGATGATGGTGGAGTTTGACGATGAGTTCCAGAACGAGGTGATGCTTGCATCATATCTCGATCGCCAACTAACACTTGATTATCCATTAAACTTCCGAGACCACTACCACCAGCACCTTCTGATGCATAATAATTCATTGTTGGTACATCATGAATAGGTGGTGGTGTTCCTCGATATGGATTTGAATAAGAACCACCAACTGAACCATTGGCTAAGCCATAATGCTAGAGTAAATAAAGATATATTTTCATTAAATATTAGTCATTTCAAAAAAAAAAAAAAAGAATGAATCCAACGATATTATAAATTATTCAAAAATGAAAGCCATTAGAGATCTGTCATTGTCATATACAGAAGAGATTATCTTAGTTTTTTATTGTATATAAATATTCATTAATGAACATATGTAGAGTGATACTCTGAATAATTCTTAAACTTCAAAATAATCATTCGATTTACACAATGTTGGTTATTTATAGATGACTATGTTGTACAGTTATAAATACTCAAAATTAGAATGGAATAAGTTCAGATAAATAGTGATGTTAAGTTTCATTTTGTTTTTACATGTTACGAAATTCGTAGAAGAACATTAAAAAAATTCTTTATTTAATTTTAGAACCGCACACTTAAAAAATAGTGACTACCATTATTACTCTACTTAACATGATACATAATCTCTACAACAACAACAACAACAACAACTGAACCTACGATTCTTCACTTAGGAGCATTATAGAACGTTTATTCTTTTCTGGTTGAAAGAGTAAAGTCTGAACTCCAATAAAATATATCACTAATTTGCATAGGAAAGATAGAACACTGAGAAAAAAAATCATTACTCTGAGCTGAAATGTGATAATAAAGTTTCTATAGGGAATATGTTTTAGAAAAAGGACGAAAATTCGTTCAGCATCTGGAAGCTATTGCTCAGGTGAGATGATCTGTTTTTTTGAAACTAATAAAAAAATTCTAGAGCTTCGATAATCTAAACATAGTTTATCATACAACATTCAAAAGAGTGATAAAAAAAACACTTCTAGTTTCTATGATTATATTTTTCCAAACGTAATCTGATAGGTTTGAAGTTGCAAGAGTTTTTTTGACGACATTTAGTATAGAGTTTTTTTCTCATCCAAAAGAAAAGCTTTGTTTTCTATGTTTTCTTTTAAAGTTTAACCATTATCTTTGTAATTAGATAAAAAATGTTGTACACTCTACAATGTTTCTATGCTAAAAATTAAAGATCACAAAGTGCTTTCGTTTTTGACTCAGTTTTAATCTCGTTGATTTCATTTTTTTTCATCATGAATATTAATTTACATTAGTCATTAAATGTTCATCCCGATATAATGCTGTTGTAACATCTTGTGATAAACGATTTTTCATATCGTATGGTTTATCATCCGATAAACGAAATAAAATGGCTGCGGCATATGTAGCTAGCAAAAAAATATGTTTTAAAAATTAGTTTAAAAAAAAAACAACATCACACAACTAACCAACACCCTCATCATTTGATTTAAGTAATTCAGTTAATTTTTGTGTACAATTTTGTTGTTCAATTATATCAGCACATAAACGATCATTAACAAGTTCACATAAAACTCCTGCAGCTGCACGTTGAATTGCAACATTTGATGGTGGATAAAGAAGCTATTTATATTTTTAATAAAAAATTAATCAATAGAAAAAAAAAAAAAAAAGAAAAGAACAATTGAAAATTTTCTTACTCGAACAAATAATGGAATACAATCAAGATCACGTATAATAATCCGATTTTGTTGATCTTTAGCAATAATATGTAATGCACTAACACATGCTTCAAGTATATCATCCATACGTATATAATTATCAATTAATTCAATATTTGGTTGTTGTCTTTGTAATTCTTGATGACTTCGAACAAGTAATTGTGCTAATTTTTGTATTGAACCTGTTTCACGTAAAACTGACAGATTGTTTGGTGATAATGCTAAATTTCTTATTAAACTTATAGTTGATTTAATAATTGGCCATGAATATAATGATGGATTAAGTAAATCAACAATTGGTAAAAGACCATTTACATGTCGAACAGCATCTTGAGCTTCACTTGCATGTGAATGTCGAGATGTGATATGTCTTAATGCACATATAGCTGGTTCTAAGATTTCTTCTTTATCATGACCTTGAATTACTGTATTTATAAGTGCATTTACACCATTAGATTGTACAACAGCCATTTTATTATATTGATTATTACATGTTAAATTTGATATAATACCAACTGAACATGAAACAGTTATTAAATCATTTGTTTGTAATAATTCAATAAGTAATTGAATAAGTGAATCAAGATTTTCCTAATGAAAACAAAAAGTATAATTATAATTTTAAATTATGAAAAAAAAATTGTTTTTTTCTACGAACTAATTTAACAGCTTGATCGGATAAATTTCGAAGAATTTGTAAACAATTTTGTTGTACACGTAAACTTTTTGGATCATATAATTGTTTTTCAAGTATATGAACTGAATTTTTTGATATCATAACTAATTTTATTGATGGACTAACAGATAAGACACGAAGAAGACGTGTTGTTGTCCATAAAAGTTTTTCATAATCAGTTAATTCTAATATACGTAATAATTGTTGTGGACCATTACTTGATTCAATAATAATCTAAATAAAATCTTATATTTAATTTCTCTTCTAAAGTTTCATTTTTTTTTTCGTTTAGAAAATTCTTTGAAAAAAAAAATAATAAGTAGTCTCAAAATGCATAACCAAAAACAAGAAGCTGTTTGTTGTTTTTTTTTTTTATCAATGATGCAAAACTTACCGTTGAAAGAATTCTGAATAAATGTGAAAGAAAATTAAATACAACAAAACAAAAAACGAATAAAATATATTTTTTTTTATTTACTTACCTTAACTTCTTCATTATTAAATGCTAGCATATGAAGACAATCAGTAAGTATAGCTAGAAATTTTGGATTTGTACTGTTTAATAATCCAACCATTTTTTGACAACCACCACAACGAAGAATTTCTAATTTGGCTTGTTCTATATGTAATAATAAATTATGTAATGTTGATAATGAATAATTAACAACAGATTCAATTGATGAACTATGAAAAAGAATAATAATTGAAAAATTTTATTCGAAAAAAATTAATAAATTTACTCTAAAAGTCGAACAAGTAGTGGAATAACACCTCCTTTAAACATAAGAAGAAGACCTTGTTTTTGTTGTGATAAACAATATAAAACACCTGCAATACCACGACGTGTTTCATCATTAGCACGTGGATTTGATATAGCTTGAATTAATGCTTGAATCATTTGTGGTGTAGATAATGCTAATCGACTAGCTTCTTTTTTTGCTAATGTATGTAAAATTAAAGCTGCTTGTCCAGCAACAATTGGATCATCATCATTAAGTAAACGAATTAATTCAGGTAAAGCTTTTTCAGTTATTTCAGCATCTTCTTTATAATTAATTATATCAATAACAGCATTTTTTAATAATTGAGATGGTTCAGATAATTTTTGTACTGCTGTTGGTTGTCCATTAACAAATTGTGTTGAAGGCATTGATAATGATAAACCATCGGAAGTACCATCTTCAAGTGTTTCAGGAAAGATAGCTGCTCGAATACGTTGAGCACGTGTTGAACTCAATTGAGCATTCATTGAATCGATATGTTCTTGCATCATGTATTCATCCATTCCACCATTACGTGAATGAGTTCGATGACTATAACCATTCATTGAATTTGACATTTGATATGATTCGTATTCCATGATAAAAAATGGAAAAAAAAAATCTTACAATGGTTCAGTGGCAATCGAAAGAATAAATGTTAAACAGTAAGCTTATTCGCCATATTGTTTATTTGATAAAACTGTATTGAACAAGTTAAATAAATAAACAGAACTGAATGAATAAATTAATGTTCATATATTAAATAAAAGAAAAAAAAATAAGAATTTTTAAAATTCTTTATTATTTGACTGAAAATAAACGATTGAGAGTAATGTTTAAAATGATATTAAAAATGTCAATTATAAGAATAGATGGCGCACATTGCTATGATGACATTTGATTTGATATAGTCATTTAAATGAATTATTCGATAATCTGAAGTATGTTCAGATTTCCGAAATTTTTATAATTTCCATATTTACACTAATTGCATTACAATCATAGTGAGAAATTTCAAAAATTTGAAAAGTAGAAGTAGCTTCTGAAGCTATGCTATTGAGATTTCTAGATGAAACTTCGAAAAGAGTTAATGAATTCGTTTTGACAATTTAGAATTGCACTAAAGTCGAGTTCATATTACAAATAATGTGTAAACACAAAGAAACTTGATTAATCAATGAAAGAGAAAATAGATGCTACTATGAATCCAGTAAAATCTAGGATCGAATTGGTATTAGTCTCTTAGTAACTGCAAGTAATTTCGATTCGGAGTAATGAACAAAGTTGCCATTATCACGTTTCAAGATAATGAGAATTCGATAGCTCGTACATCAGATTGAGTTACTCGATAACTATTGTATTTTTCCAGAAGTACATCGACCAGAATTGAGATCCAAACTACTAGAACCGTTATAGATTAAAGTTCAACTAGATCCGGGAGTCAGTACCGAACTTGGCTGATTGCTTTCTTCGACTGTA